GAGGAAACCGTGGAAATAGCTTGCGGAGAGCCTTGCTGGGAGGGAGCGAGACAGCATGCTGGACGGGACAAAACCGTGGAAATAGCTTGCGGAGAGCTTAGCGAGACAACATGCTGGACGGATAGGAAACCTTGAAAATAGTTTGCGGCAGAGCTGTTGGCACGGGTTTTTTCAGGACAAATGCCATCATTGCGATTGGCCTGAAAAAATTGTGGACCCAAGACTGGTCAAATGGTCCCAAGACCGGTCAAACGGTTTGCAAAGGCTGAAAGATGGGACATGCACAGAGAAGCTTTTACACAAAAAAAGCCTTTACACAGAAACTTTGACACACAGACGCGTTTACAGAGACACAGAGGAGTCTTGACACAGAAGCCTTTACGCACAGAAGCTTTTTTGCACAGAGTAGCTTTTACACACAGAAGTCTTTACACAGAGAAGTCTTGAGACAGAGAAGCCTGTACACACAAAGGCTTTTACAGAGAGAAGCCTTTCGCACAAAGAAGTCTTGACACAGAGGAGCTTTTACGATAGAAGTCCTTACACAAACGAGATTTACACGCAGAAGGTGTTACAGATAGACGTTCTTTCGGCGCACAGAAACTTTAACACAGAGCAGCTTGTACACACAGAAGCTTTTACACAAAAAAGCCTTTACACAGAGAAGTTTTTCACACAGGAGCTTTTGCACAAGAAAACTTTTACACAGGAAAGCTTTTACACACAGAAACTTTCACACACAGAAGCTTTGTACACAGAGAAGTCTTTGCACAGAGGAGCTTTTGCACACAGAATCTTGTACACACAGACGCTTTCACACACACACAGGAGGTTTTACAAACAGACAACTTTACGGCGCACAGATTTTTTACACAGAGCAGCTTTTACGCAGCGAAGCTTGTACACACAGGGGGCTTTTTTACACAGAAGCTTTTACATAAGGTTTTTTTAATACACAGAAGCTTTTACACACAGAAACCTTTACACACAGAAGCTTTTACACACAGAAACTTTTACACACAGAAGCACAGAAACCTTTACACACAGAAGCTTTTACACACAGAAACTTTTACACACAGAAGGTTTTACACACAGAAGCTTTTAACACAAAAAAACCTTTAAACAAAGGAGCTTTTACACACAGACGGGTTTACACAGAGAAGTCTTTACACACGGAGGCGTTTACACAGGAAAGAGTTTACACGGAAGCGTTTACACAGAGTAGTTTTTACACAGAGAAATCTTTACACAAAGAAGTCTTGACACAGAGAAGCTTGCACACACAGAGGCTTTTACACACAGAAGCCTTTTACACAGAGCGGCTTTTTCACAGAGGAGCTTTTACACAGAGGAACTTTTACACAGAGAAGCTTGTACACTCAGAGGCTTTGACACAGAGAAGTCTTTTACACAGAGAAGCTTTTGCACACAGAAGCTTTACACAAACAAAACCTTAACACAGAGGAGCTTTTACAGACAGAAGCTGGTACGCAAAGAAACTTTCGCAAACAGAAACTTTTACACACAGAGCGCGTTTTACACAGAAGATTTTACACACAAGAGCTTTTACACCAAAAACCTTTACACAGAGAAGTTCTTGCCCACAGAAGCTTTTACTTGCAGAAGCTTTTATGCAAAGAAGCTTTTGTACAGAGAAGTCTTTACCCATCTTTTATCATGTCTCATTTTTCATGATCATTTGCCATCTGTCACCTTCATATATATCTTCGTTTTCATGCTCTTTTGGTCAGCTCCCTCTGTCGTTTAATTTTCATTTCGTTCTGTCCGTCCACGCTTCGTGCTCGCTCCCTCTGCGGCGAAGCAAACTAAACGAGAACGCAGAAATAGATAGCGACTAGACAGATGGGATAGAGTTAATTACATTAACAGAAATAGCGACTAGAAGACTGTAGGCGTAGCTGACACAGCATGCTGTGGTGAATCGTGGCCCCTGATACCATCAGTGCGCACGATGTTTAAGTAAAGATCTTACGTCGATTTCGTGCAGAGCACAGCTGGCCACACCCCAAGATTTTCAAGAAAAGGCGTGCTGTGTGCCGTCTTGCTTTTGGGTTCTCTGGCCCACCTTGTTTCGACATGAGAGAGAAATGCGCACACTGCGCACCCACAAACTTAAGACAGAATAGTATATGACCATCTATCTATCCATCTATCCATCTCTCTTTCTCTCTTTAGATATAATTACACACACACACACATATTTATATATACACATGCACATATATATATATATTATACATACACACACACACATCCATATATATATATATATAAAATACATATATGTATGCACACAATACATATACACATACAACAGCAGCGTGTGGGACGCAGCCGCCGCTCAGGACGCCTTTCTCCTGCAGGGCCCAGATCCCATCGGCCGCGAGGAGTTTTGCCCACGGGACGGCCGGCCGGGCTGTGCCATGGTGGACGTCCTGGAACGTGTGCATCGAAGACAGTGCCACCTGGCGCCAGGTGATTTCATGGTGATTTCATGGTGATTTCATGGTGATTTCATGGTGATTTCATGGTGGTTTCATGGTGGTTTAATGGTGATTTCATGGTGGTTGAATGGTGGTTTAATGGTGATTTCATGGTGGTTTAATGGGATTTCATGCCTAATTAATGGTGATGGAATGGGATTTCATAGGATATATGTACACATCATGGGAGTACAATGGGAGTATAATCGGATAAATCACCTACTTGGGGGTGCTGTTGGCGATTTTTAAGGCTATTATCATGGTAATAACACTAAACAAACTGGGATAATATGGCCCCTCTACAACTGGGGCATATCCACTTATACATATATATATATATATACAACTTATAACATTTATAACTGGAACTGCACTCCCAAATGGGGTGAACAGAGACCTTGGCTGTTGATCCCTCTGAAGAGATTTTTGGGTCGTCTCCCATTTTTTTCTCGGTCAATTCACCTTGGAAGTTGGTTGGCTCGAGCTAAGGTACCCACTTCCTTTCATGGGCATGGTGCCACTTGGCAGATTCATGGCACGAAAAAAGGCATGGCCCCAATTTTTGTCAGAGACTCTGAAGCCGAATCCCAAACTGATCCTGACATAATTTAGAAATACCATGAAATACCTATTATATCCTATTATAAAACATAGTTATCCACATTATCAGAGGTTATCCCAAACAAATTACTTCAAATTACCAGAGATTATCCACATTCTGCCCGGCCGCCCCTGGAGCTCCAGGTTATTCCGTGAGCCTGGTCCGAAGTGCCATGCGCTCCTGGATGGATCAGTGTCTTGGTGCGGTGCGAGAATCTGTGGGAGTCCCATCTGTAAGTGATGGAAATATATGGAAAAATGGAGAACATGTTGAGATATATATGGAATATATGGAATATTTGGAAATCGGAAAGCATCAAACTTGGGCCTTGAACTCGATTTGAGTGCGAAGTGTCGGTATAGGTAATGTTCAGTCGAAAGCCACCTTTCCAGAAACAGCTGTCGTGGTTGGACAGCCTCACAGTGGAAATTCAGCTCAACATTGGCCAACAATCTCAGTTGCCATGGTTGCGACCCAGCTATGCATACATATGTGATATGACACATCCCCAATCCCCAATCCCCAGTTACATTCTAATTCTGTGGATTGTTCACCACTTCCTCGGATGTGCCGCGAAGCAATCAACCTGCTGAGGAGCAAGTTGATGCCATCCAGTACATTCCTGTACATGTGCCACTTTGCTATCTGAGGTGATGGATTTCCATAACACCTTGGTAATCTTGGTACTGGTGGGTGTCAGTATGTGTCAGTGGTTTTCCCCATGTTCTCCTGGTTTGGACATGTTTGGAAGAGTAGCTATCCTTGGGGACTCTGGGGCCGACAGAAACGACCATAAAGCAATGCAGCCACTCTGACGACCAAAATCATTGACAATTCAACATTGTTGTCTTGGCATTACCACGGTATAGAATTGTTTTCATACCGATCATGCTATGATGAGGCAGCTCATTTACATATATTTGCATGATATTTACATGTTATCTTATACGTTATGATTCATGGTGCCATGTTATGCCCATGACGTTCGGGTTCCGCCACCAGGTTTCTTTGTGAATAACCAGTACCGGATTCTCTTGGATCAGCAGGGCGCTGGCAGCCGTGACTTCAGTCTGGGCGAGGCTTAAATTTGGATCATCTTGGATCATCTTGGATCAATGGGCTGTGGTTGGCACCTACAGCTTGATATGAACATGTCATATGATATTTCATGATATTTCCGGATTCATGAGCATTAATATCCATTTGGGACACTGTAGATATACATCTTCTTGGATTTGGTGAAGATGCTTTTATTTAATGACTGTATCCCAACGGGAAATCCATTCCTTGGAACCTACATAGAGGTGTTAGTTTCTATTTTTTGGATGGTTCCTTTAGCAAATCCAAGTTTTTACAGATGAATTCCAGCGACCAGAATGGCACCCCTGGCCCCATGGCGACTTCGACAGGTCTTCGAAGAAAATCTGCAGAGAGTTGGTCGCATGGTGGCCCTATTGGACCACTGGGATCAACCTGCCTATCTTTCCAGGATGGAATGGGAGTATGGAAGGATTTAAGGGAACATTTACAGGGCACACCCACACACACACATATATATATATATATATGTATGTATGTATGTATATTTTTTTACAATACATATAATACAATATATATATATATAATATAATATAATATATAATATATAATATAATATAATATAATATCTTATCATATCATATCATATCATATCATATGTTATACAGTATAATATAATATAATACAGTATAATATAACATAATATAATACAGGATAACATTATATACTACAGTATAATATTATTTAACACAGTCTAATATAATATGATATACTATAATATAATGTAATATAAAATTATATATATATATACGTGTTTTGGGGGAGGATTGGATGGCAACCACATTATTTTTGGCATTTTCTTGGGATTTGACTGATATTTGAAGGTAATTTTTCTCCCCTCCAACCAATCCCAGGAGATGGGAGTGTTTGCGGTGGCATTGTTCCGACACACAACTTGGATAGGGGGCGTAGCCAAACAGGTGTCGGATGCCTCATTGTCACACGGCACCCAAGGGTCGTTGTCTTCCTCATCATTCCCCAAGAGACAGGCTTCCCTGCCACAATGGATCATGAAATGGGTACCTCTGCTTGGAATTTGTGGGTCCTCCCGTCAGGATTTGGACCATCTTTGAGCAGTACTCTGCCGTGGTCTTGGAGATTGAGGTGCTTGACATATGATCCTGGCAGTAAAGTGGCCCTTACCAGTGGCTTGCGAACTGATGAGACCAGGCTTTAATCCTAAGGCTAGTTGTGCTATGTTATATGACATCCCCTTATTTTCGTTCCTGGGGCCGTTTCCTGGGTGAACACCACAGAAGCCTCCAGTCCGGATTCCCATCAGCCAGCTATGACAGTAGGCAACGACTGCAGAGTCCTGCAGATCATTCTTCATTTGGGTATAGTTGATTACTATTGAGTCTCATTTGGAGCCTGACTAAATTTCATTCATATTCCAGCTGGTCTTATTGGTCTTATTAGTCTTATTAGTCTTATTCTTGTTTTTCTTCTTGTTTCACATCACCCATCTTGACATCACAGGACATCACCCAAGGCCCAAGGGACGCCTGCCAGGTGACCTTCATCTTGCCCCAAGCTGCTGGGGAAAGCCTCCTCCGTGAGATCCGCAAGGCACTGGCACCGCTCGTGGGCAGGGAGCATGATGTGTTCCATGGGAAAGAACATGAACGTTTTTCTGTCAAAAAAGACCATGATGTTCCTGGAACTTGGAAACTTTCACGGACATCCAAATATAGAATATAGGGTACGGTATATGTATATATATATATATACATTTATACACACACACACTATATATATATATATTATATATACACACATATATATATTTTTCCCTATCATATTCATATTCCCATCATATTCCCAGCATATTTCCAATGGACATCCCATTTGGACAACATCCCAGGGTGAGGAGGGCATCCTCACAGTGCGGGAGTCCTTGTGCAACGTGGACGCAGAGACGGCCAGTGCTTGGTGTTTGGAGGCATCGGCAGCAGATGGGCCTTGGGTGGCTGGAAGATGATGGTGATAACCAAACAACCACATGGTGTTGGGTGATGTTAGGTGTTCTTAGTGTTGGTTGACGCTAGTTAGATGTTGATTTAATGATGATATGTCAGGTTGCTAGATGATTTGTTACTGTAGTTGATTTGTTGTTGATGATTTGTTTTCATTTTTTTTGTTGATGTTGGACACGCTGATGGTCAAAGCGGGTGCCCACTTCACCACCGGTTCTGTGAGTTGCAACGAGGACGAGCAACACGTGAAGCGTATCATCGAAAAATCCATAGGCGCATGGTCGCTGGGCGATGCTGCAGCCGGGTCTCATAACCTGGGTGGTTTCAACTGCTGGATGGTTTCCACCTGGTCCCAAGTGGAATCATCCAAGCATCTCACTATATCTCACTTTTTTTTGGAGTTGTTTTGGAAAACTGGGCCCCCAATAAATCACGATCCCATCATCCATGGTTTAGGAACCTCATGTTCCATCAGCTTCCCCCAATAAATCAGTGGTCCCCATTTCCGCGCGTCTTTTCCGCAGGTTTTGAGAAGGTCAATGAGAAGGTCCAGGAATTGATGATCGCCTGGGTGGCCACAATGGTGAAGGCTGCCATGGGACCGACTAATGGGATGGCTGGCAATGGAATGCTGGCTGGACATTTGGGGGGATTTCCTGGGGGATTATAGTTTTGTCATGTTTTGTTTAGGTGATTATTTGGACACCTTCGACGATTTTTTTGGGGATCTAGAATTGCGAAGACCGTAATTTAGTAAGACGGGGATGGGCAAAACATGCGCGTGATCTGCTGTATCATGTTCTTTTGGAACTGATAGGATGAGAATGATCAATTGATTGGTGGCTTCATCCTTTGTTGAATTCAAAATCCAAACTTGGGATGATTAACATGTTGAAACCACCGCTACTCCTAGTAAAGAAAAGTGATGGCCGAGCGCTGAGCCAATGAGCCAAACATTAAAAAGGTTGAATTTCCGAAGTCTTTGTGTCCAAATCATAGCTCCAAGATCAGATCTGAGGGTGAAACATGATAATCATGGAGAAAAGCTCCAGTTTTGGGTAGCTATCAGTTATCACCAACTCATTCACTATAATGCGGGGGCCAGGACTACTTGGGTGGTTTGGTGGTGCTGGGCAGCCGGCGCTTGCAACGCCTTCGGGCTTCTTCCTTGCTGAGCCTAGGAGCCACTGATTGGACCCACAAGTGGCTGGGATGACGTCTGTTGGAGAGTTTGAATCTGGGGACATACAGTTCAGGGATGCTAATCAATCATGACACATGTATATCTATGCCAAGAATTATATGTAATTACATTCCCACTTTCTTCATTCTACAGTCTCCATTCGGGGAATTCTATACGCAGACTGCATTCTACATTATATATTCTGTATGCATGCTGCATTCTACATTGTTTTTGCATTCTACATTCTATATACATACTGCATTCTACATTCTACAATCTACATACATACCGCATTCTACATTCTACATTCTACATTCTATGTACCGTGCATTCTCCATTCTACATTCTAGATGCTAGATGCGAGATACTACTCACCACACTTGCAGTTGCACGCACACATACATGGATATCTATATCATTCTATATCTCTATATTATATTTATGTGTGTATGTATGTATGTGCATGCATACATATGTATATGTACAACATGAACATACACACAGCATATACATATCTTCCCGCATTTGCACGACTACAAACCCAACTGATCATCATTTAAGAGGTGTTGACAGCCAAAACAGTTGGTTTACCATCCCAAATAGGAGTCACTTGGCCACACTGTGACAGGGTGGCCGGCTTAGGTTGAGCAGTCGTACGGAGGTTTCAGTCGCTCCTTGTCCAACAAGTTGGAACCAGGGCCCCCTGTGGGAGTGGTTGATTGATGGAGGATTAATGGAGGATGAATGGACGGGTATTCGCTGATGACGACGACGATGCCGACGATGATGATGATGAGGATGATGAGGATGAGGATGAGGAACAGGAGGAGGAAGAGGAGGAGGAGGATGAGGAGGAGGATGAGGAGGATGAGGATTACGATGATGATGATGATGACGACGACGACGACGCAATGACTAGGACGGGCAGCTGCGTGCTAATCGTTTCATGATCAAGTCAATCTTTGTGCGCTGTTAGTCATGACGGTGATACAACAGAATTGGCTAGCGCCGATTGAAGTGGGATGACAGGTATACCAGGATATTGGATGATATTGGGGTAATTATTGCTCCTTTGGCACTGAAAACGGGAGGATCCAAACGCCCCAGCCAAGGGCACAATGCAGACGGTCCGAGTCAAACAAACTGACTCAATTTGGTCACAGTGCAGCCACTGCATGCATGAAGAGTCCACGACCAGGGCGCAATTTTGAGCGTTACAGCCTGTCAGGCGACCGATTTTTCCGGTTGCAACCCTTGAACCTTCACCCCTCGCTGAAAGCGAGTCCCGGTGAATGTCCGGAGCACGAGCCTCCGGGGGCAGCCGATGGCCGCTTGCCTTGGTGAGGGCCTGGCAGGAGCTTCCTTTAGACCGGAGGCCTTCAAGATGCAACGATCATGATGATAACAGCACCTCCATGCAGCCCATGCATCTCCCAGAAGCCTGGTTAATGTTGGACTCGTTCAATTTTGGATTTCATGATTAAAGTAGCTTTTCAGTTTTGTAATAATTAAGATACCAAGCTGAAGGTTTCTGCACAGTGTGTACCAGGGACCCCCAACAGCAAAAGTGGTAGGAGGGTGCCACAACAGCCAGCGATCAAGTTTGAATATTGGCGATGGAAGCAGTATGGAGCCCAAACACTTCAGGTTTTTTCTTTCTTGTATGTCAACATATGTCAACTTTGAAGGCATCCGAATGAATTTCAGATGCCTGTTTCCGACCATGGGCCCCATGGGCCCCATGGGCCCGGGCCTTGTCCTCCTTCAGAGGAGGAACAAGACGAGGGGAAATTCCTTGTAACCCCTGGCTGAAGCCAGGGGCAAAAGGCCGCACAATCCTTAGTTGTCGAAGCTCTATACGCCGAAGCAGAGATATTTTGAGTTTTTTTCAAAAATGAATTTTTAATATTTTTGGTTACAACTAAGTTACAACTAAGTTACAACTTTGTATTTCAGCATCGTCCCCCTAGGTGTTTCATTTTTTACACAGAAAGGGCCTAGGGCTTTGGAGCACCCGCAGAGCCTCCTCAGGGATGGCCTCATTTTTCATCTGAAACAGCGCCGTTGGGCATGGGAGATAGTGGAGTGGAGCAGGGATTATGGCAACTACCATCCGGGAATCTGGTAAACTGACACAGCTACTGAAAACCACCATTCTTATGAAGAAAATCAATGAACATCATTGAACATCTATAAATGTGCTCTTTTCCATTGCTATGTTAGTCTACCAGAGGGTAGTTGGAATCAGTTGGTGTTGCAGTTTTGGACCTCAATCCTGCAACGATAAACATGACTCGCAGTGGTTAGACCCCACAATTCCTGCAGAACCTGCTATTAAAAGGGGTGGCCTTCCCAGTGAGTTTCTTAATGCGGGGTTGACCGTATCGATCATCGTATTTCTTCTGGGACCTGCGACACCTGGGGCCGAAGGAGAAGGTCACAGCTCTCATGGCGCTTGCGCGCCAGGTCCCCTACGCCTGTGCCGCAGCACGATGCGTAAATGAGGCAGGGCCCGCAGGGCTCCGTCATCGTTTTGAGTTTCCATCCAGTTGACAATGATCCAAATGAATGGGGCTAGGGGGTAGGCCAATAACTTCACTTGCTTTCTCGGAATTGAAGAGAGCTTTGTGAACATCGGTCAAGTCAAGCTTCGACTATGGCACTACTACAGTACACGGACGAAATATGACGAAATGTTCAAATCCCTTCTATCCGGTACAACCTCCTCACCCCCAAAGTTCAATGTTAATGTAACCTGAAGTGCATTAGCCCCAATGAACGAAAGAAATCAAACCCCTAACATCACTTTTGGTAACACGCGCGCTGAAGCATTGAGATTTGGGGGTGCGGGGGTTCAACATACTGCGCGTTGCAGGGTTTGAATATTTTGTCCAACTACTGCAGCATGTATTAGTACAGCTTGTTCAAGCAGGCATTGCGTCCACCAGAGACAGTCACAGCGGGTGCGGTCGTTGTGGCCTTCTGTCAATTTGTAGCATTGGATTTGTCGAAACGAAACCGTCATCAGAATTGTGGGTGCCGTGGATCTATAGGGCCCCTCACAAAGATACAAGAGATTACAAGAGTACATCACTGTCAAAGAGTGGGAATTGCTTTTGTTTTGCATGGTAACTTTATTTTAAATTACGGCCAAATTCCAAAGGTTTGTGGCGCAGAGAAAGAAGCTGGAAGTCTAAACTGGCCGGGACGACCTGGCCAATGCTGCCCTTTTCTGCAGGACTTTCCATGCAACTGGGCACGTGGCTGTGGCATTCCAAAAGGCATGCTGCGAACCAGCCACTTGCCGAACTCGGGCCAAGGGCTGGGCCGGCCGGGGAAAGCTTGGTCGACTGTGGCACCCTGAGTGAATAGATGGTCGGTTGGAACTCCACGAACCCCGCGACTGTTGCACCCCGCAAATTGGCGAAGTCTTGCTTGATTTTGAGCAAAATTCTCACCCAAGCCCCATGAGGCTTAGCGTGCTTGAGATCATGCAATGACCACAATGAGATGTTGAGGCGGTGTGGGAATTTCGACTTTGATTCTAATAGCATATCATGCTGCCTCTAGCTTCCCATAGTTTGGTGCTCTTCATGCTGGGGGCTAGCCAGTTCTATGCCACACAAAATGCTTGGAACTGAGTGATAGGGGCCCAATCAGCTGCTATCCAAACCGACCGACCCCAGCGATGCCAGTTCGATTGGCTACGATCAGACCTGCTCTGAGGAACCTTGGTGGCGTTAGTTGCTAGAAAGGTTGGCATAGCCGGCACAGCCATGATGATCATGACGGAGAACCAAAAGCTGTCCGGGACATGGGAGTTTCAAGATGTTTCAAGCACATTTGGTCCATCTGAAGATCGGTACTCGGTACTTGCATTCATCCTTGACAATTTGCAAGGTTTAGCACACGGAAAGTCACAACAAAGGAGATTCCCCTCCGCACCCTTCCATAGTGTGCAGCTGGGCCATTGTAGAGGGTCCTCTATCTAGAAAGGACCACTATACCCATCAGTATTTTATACATCATGTTTGCATCATACAAACACATAGACGGAGATGCTTTTATAGATTATATGATATTGATATATAATAAATATCAACAAATACATATCTACACACACACACGCGCACACACATGACACACACGACACAAACACGACACACACGACACACACGACACACACACGACACACACACACACGACACACAGTGAGTTAAGGTGAAACTTTTAAGGGAAGCCCATCAAAGGTACAGGTGAAACACATGCTACCCCCCCCCACTCAGTTTAAAAGATTACATGCACATCATCCACAGTGCATCGCCGAGCTAAACAAAACTGAGCACAATCGTCCAACATGCCATACCATGGACCAGAGCCAATGCATAAGTATATATATATATATATGCATGCAGTATATGAGGGCACATGTGCATGCATATGTATATGTATACATATACTGTACTGTATATGTATATCTCTCTCTCTCTCTATATATATATATATACACGCATGCAGACGCACACATATTTTCGCATAAATATACGTATATACAGTAAAGTCCTTCAACACACAGCACAATTGTATTACATAGTATTTCTGTGCCCCTTGGCGGCTAAGATCATTGGCAGATTTGGATGTCAAAGTCGCTCAGCTAAGATCATGCACCGGTGTAAGGGTGTGTGTGGGACACACACAAATCCAAGAAACATGAGGTAAAACCAACAAGAATATGGTGATTAAATAAGGATTTAATGTGCTACATATATATATATATTTTATATAGAAGCAACAATATGATATTTGGGTTTGTCAGAAAATTTCTAGGGAAACACAGAAGAACTCCGATGGTTAATCATCATTTTCCCAGAGACATCATAATTTTCCTATCAAGATGACTGCACATTGGGAGTAAATACCACATTGTCAGACACACTCGACTGCTTAATGCGGGGGTATGACCAGGCGTGAAATGCCCCAAGCGGGGCCGAGAGGGCGGGGGTTTGACAGTCAGCGGGTAGCATCCCCGGTCATGATAGTGCAGAATAAGATGTCAACTTGTTAGCCATGCATGAATCTTCTGGAGTGAGGCATGCAGGCGTCTTTGGTAATTATTTGCTTGCAATGTCAGCTTTGCGCCTAAATGCACACAAGATCATGGTGAGCTATGCGCACAGTCCCTTTTAGTGGAGGAAATTTGGATAGATTGTGAAGTTCAGATACTGACTTGTCTGGATGAACCATTAGCAAAAAAATGATGAACCATGATAAATCTAAATCAACTATGACAAAGCAAGGCGGTACCGGAAGCAATCAATGGCCTCTAAAATCCAGACAGTAGGGCCCAGAAAAAGCTGGTCAAAACGAGGATCTTGAAACTGTTGCTGAATGGGTTTTCCAGACCTCCCTCTTCAAGAGAAGGTCCCAACCACTTACACCTAGGCCATTACTACCATCCACTGGGGCTAAGCTGGAGTAAATAGCAGCTAGATTGGTGTTAATTTGGACGTGTATCGTTGTCACCGGCAGCACCTTTTGAACACAGCTATTTCTCCAAACGGGCCTGTCTCCATCATCCCATACAACATCATACAACTGTCTGGGTGACCGGTGATGTCAGGCGATACTCTGGCCATCAACATCCCCGAGTTTTGCCCCGTGTCCTGCAAGAGCCCGGAGTGTGCCTATCGCTGCGATCGCAGCTGGCAGGAGGGCGGCGAGGTGTCCAATCTCCAGCAACAAAGGTGCGGATGGGGGCCATGGGGTGCTATGGGGTGCTATGGGGTGCTATGGATGAGGATTTTTTGTGGATGATCTGCCCGAAAAGCACACAGAAAATCAAGGAGTTAAAGAAGTGAACGTCGAGAGATTGATGTATGATGATAGAAATATACTAGACATGCACTGTTGTTTCTCCTGTTTTGAAAGAAATAAAGAACATACATTATTGGTTGAACATTTGTACAGCCAGAAGAGATAGACATGGATAGATGGGATTGGATAAACCACGTAAATTTAACAAGAGATTAGATTCGATTCGATTAGATTGATGAGATGGGAGTAGAGATGACTAGATCAGATTCAATAGATGACATTAGATGAGATTGGATATGTTTGGATTAGATTTGACTAGATAAATTGAATTTTAACTATGGATCATGTGGTAAACCCAAAAGGAATTGTAACAAACATGTGGTAAACCCAATGCCATAAGCATCCCCAAAATCATCATTTTTATGGGTGCTGTATAAACCATCCCCAGTCATGGTAGTTGTATATGGCATTCCTCGCCAGGTGCTGGACTCAGATTGAAGGTGGCCTGCCTTGTCTAGATGCCATCAAGCTGGGCCAGGCCGCCTTGCCCTTGGGATCCTTGGGATCCTTGGGATGGGCCTCGCGAGGTTTTCAGGGAACCATATGATTTTGACGGACCAACTGGATATGCAGCAGCTGAATCAGTTGGAGATGGTTGCCCCATGTTGCCCCAACTGGTCCCAGAGTTTTTCTGCGATTTTTGCCGCGAGTTTCGTGAGTTTGACAGGACTGCCATTGCAAGTGCGCCAGTGAATATGTTCGCATGGGCTCCATCCGAGGGCGGGTGTCTTGTCTTGGGAAGTTGAGCGGACGTGCTTCGGGCAGTGTTTGATGCCATTTGGCCTCTGCGGCCTCGGTTTTCTGAGGACATTGAGGTGAATGAGTGGCAATGAAATGCCCCAAATGGATCCAAATGGATCATATATGATCACGGTGCATGATCACGCCATACATTGGTTCAGTTCACAAGCCGATTGGATGATTGGGATCTTCAGAAAGAGTCGATCAACCAGAAAGACGATAAAGTCAGAGGATGTCAGAGGCATTTGTTTGGATGGAAGTTCCCCTTCTTCAAGAAAGCCATCTTGGGCGCATGGTCAATCCCACCCACAAGTTTTTCCAAAGCAAGAGCTCCAGCCAAAAGGAATTGCAACAAACATGTGGTAAACCCAATGCATCCCAATGCAATAAGCCATCCATAGCCAACCCCAAAATCATCATTTTTTATGGGTCCTATAAACCATTATAAACCATCCTCAGTCATGGTAGTTTTTTTAAAATGATAGTCAGGGTTTCCCACTTTGCCAGAAGCCTGGTGCCCTCTCCATCAGCGATCAACTGGATGGCAAAGACCTATCCTTGAACCTGGAGGCGGGAACAGTTAAATGGGGGACATGGGTAACTTCAGGGGTTTCTTAGTATAATGAATGGTTACCCTCTGGTTATTTCACATTGCAATGGACCATGCAGACTTCTTTGGGACTTTGATACATGTTCGAATTTGATGGGTAATTCTCCAGCAAATCCGGTTAACGCATTGTTTAAACTGATGAGGATTTCGCCTGGCCGTTTTTCGCAGATGGGTCAAAGTCACCATTCTGATTTAAAAGCAGATCTCATTGGTGGTTTCAATATGCCTCAATTATATTCTTTAATTCCCATCCTATTCAAATTATATAAAATTATGATATCAGTTGACTCAAATCTTTCAACCGGTCGAAGTGACAGAAACCGAAAAAACCAGCGATTCGCGATCCGCGAGGCCATTGTGGGTAGAACCATCACCTTGGACTTCACCGGGGAACGGATGAGATCAGAAGAGCCGGCCCATGCGCAAGGACCGGCATCATCCCACAGCCCCAATTTATGAGAGATATAGACTTCGGGCTGCAGGATATCACAAGTAGTTAATGTATGTTAATATGGTTGACCATGGTTGACCCATAAACAATCTCAAATGCCCATAAAAAAAGGGTGGTATACACGGTATAAACCCTCCGAAATAGGATGTTTATTCTTGGGTTTACCACATTCCAACCTGATTAGTTCTCGCGACCAAGACCGGTCGCTCTCCTTAGCCCTGGAATAGGCCCAAGGCTGAAGATCATCCCGGACGATCAGATTTGTAGCAGCTTGGTGATGGGTAAACCGGGTAAGCAGCCTGTGAGCGGCATGGAGTTTCTCATTACTTGGCGGTAACGCCGATCTGCAACAGCAGAAACTGATTTACCCTCCAAATGTGATTCTTTCATGATGTTTCATCCGGTGGTGAAGGCTGGCTTTCGATTCAGAATTACAGCAGTGCTGTTGATTAATGGTGGATTTATTTCGCTTGCATTTTCGTATGGTAATCCGTAGTCCCGCAGAATGGGGTGGAAGATGAAATTTCTACATGGAAATAGATGGAGAGAGCATTTTGGGGTTCCATGCTCGCCACGCAATCACTTGCAATGTTCTTTGATCATTTTGGAGTTGCTCTCAACTCTAATTGGCCGAACAGAAATCATTGATGATTGTCCTATGTGTTGATATGTTGGAATGACAAGCTAAAGTGACCCGACCTGAAGGCAACAGGGTCTTGAAATTAGTTGAGTGAGCCAAGCACTCTTGTGGTGGGAGGGGCTCTACAACAACCCCATGACGACCCAAAGAAAGGTGGTTGTATGTGGTCGTACTTCCCACTTTCTCGAGCCATTTGCTACCTTCAGAGGCCATCCAATGAGTCGGATCTGTTGGTATCCCCAACTCCCCCCTGAAAACCACCGAAAACAGCTACCATGACTCCAGCCCTTCTCTCAGCTTTTAACTTCCAGCCGTTATCCAGAGTCATCCAGTGCCATCATGGGCGCAGCAGGTACCGCAGCCCTGGCTTTCAACATCACTGGTCTCTCCTGTGAACAGCCACCTGGGGCTGACGCCCTGGGAGGTGGAGCATCTGGATATCCCAGGATGTGCTCTCTTAAATAGTGGGTACATCTGGGTACCAATATTTGCATAAATCTACGTCTATCTATCTATCTATCTATCTAACTATCTATCTATCTATCTGTCTATCTATCTATCTAACTATCTATCTATCTATCTATCTATCTATCTGTCTTATTATATTGTATTATATTATATTATATTGTATTATATTGTATTATATTATATATTATTGTATTATATTATATTGTATTGTATTATATTATATTATATTGTATTATATTGTATTATATTGTATTATATTATATTGTATTATATTATATTATATTGTATTATATTGTATTATATTATATTATATTATTTTATGTTATGTTATGTTATTTTGTATTATATTGTATTTTATTATATTATATTATATTTGTACAAATACGCTGAACATTTATCATTATCTATTTAATCTTCTGATACCTGCTACAGAGAAGAGTCAAAATTGCCCCTGCGTTTTGCTATGTCTTGGAGGCTACATTTGCACCACGCCGCCAACACTGGCGACACCTTTTCTGCATCGCTGGGGTGGCATACAGATGAATGTCCCTTGGCAAGTTCCAGTCTCAGCCAGCACTTTGGGAAGATGGCAGGTGAGGATCGGACGTCAATGGGCATAGGTCAATTTTGGATGTATTGGATGCCCTACAAGAATGCGATGTTGAGTGTAATTTTGAACTTCATCACTCATCATATGGTGATGCCGGTGATGTGGCAACTAACCAAAAGTTTTGGTTGTATGATATTTGGGCACCTTAACAATTGGATGAAAACGCGCAAACACACACAGACATACACACACACACATACACACAGTCACACACACATATATATAATATATATATACATGTATATATATATATATACATATATATATATATATACATGTATACAGAACAAAGAACACATGTTGATGTTATGTAGATCGTATGTGTCTGCATGGGTGTATGCAAATTGAGATGGGGGGCCTTTAGGCAGTCGACATACCAAAATATGCCAACTGCATGGGTGACCTTTCCTGACATGTCAGGCTTGTGGGCGCTTCTTGCTGTGTCACTGCAATGAGCTGTGCGAATCTTCGGCTGAAGATGACCTGAGCAATTTTTATCTGAACGACAAACGATAGGCCTCGGACATTTCTTGGCATGTTTTCCGGCAAGTGACAGCATGCAGCATTGTCCGTTGGACACCTGCCTCGCCTATTGCTTGGTTCTTGGGAACAGCTTTTTGGCCATTGTTCACGATTCCCATGATATTCCATCCTGTCCCAGTTTGGCAGTGGAAGTCTCGTGGAGGAATTGCAGAATCATCAAATCTCATGAATGGGCCCAAAACCGTCCAAAACCTGCGCAAGTCCCTGCTAGATTTTGTCGCATGTAGGCACTGGTGGTTCCATGGACATTTCCTCTTTCATCCAGCCAGCCAGCATAAGGATATCAAATCCAATTGGGTGCGTGCGGGCTACTTGGAGATAAAACCGCAGTTGACTTATGGCAGTCCCTCGGCTGCGAATTGTCAAATGTGCAGATGTTGACCCTGACCCCACATGAAGCCAGTTCTGTGGGTACGGCACAGTGCGACCTGGCATGTCCCATTTCCTTTTCTTCTCATTCACCTTGTCTCACCCTTCCCAATTTTTCGGAGTTGCTTTCTGGATTTCCCTGCCATTCTTTTCTTGTTCTGATTCGTTTTTTTTTTTGCACGATTCCATTATATACATATTGCTATTGATATTTGTTTTAGTGATTCCACCTCTTCATTGATTTCCAATGTTGTCATATTTCATTGATTTTTTTCAATTTCCATCTTTTATGTCTAATTCCTTTTTTTGGCTGCCCGTTTTTTCTGCTGTAGCTATAGTTTCCCATGGTTTCTCCTTTGCACACAAACTCATCGGATTGGTTTTAAGGGAAATTTGACAGGAAACCACTACAGTAAATTTTGATGATAAGAATAAGAACCATAGTTTCCGGTTTCCTGTTAAGATTTTCCCTTAAACGGATCCATTGATCAAACAATATGATTATGGAAATTCCATGGAATTCATAGATGAAAAACCTGATGATTTACGTATTACAAATATTCAAAACTGATGATTGTCCAGTTCGCTACGTTAAATAACCCCCGGTTCCGGTCCCCTACGTCCCAGGCATGTCGGCTCCCCTACCTGGCTGTGCAGCTTATCTCCCCACGCTGCCACCGAAGCAAGTGGACACAGGGAACGGAGAAGCTCGGATAGAACACTGGGATTTTCTAAGGATATAATTGGATGTGTCACATTATATAGTGATATAATATGAATTAGTATGTCATATATACAAATACATTCAAATGCAATCAACTCTTATATAAGTGGTGACTATATAAGGACCTAAGGATATGATATAAATATAAATGGGACATATTATGATGATATCATAATATGATTATAATGGGATACAATATGATATAATGTCCATGCTGGAGGTTAATATACCCCTAGGCTGTTTAATTCGGGGAGTACCACTTGAGAATCAGATTATGATTGCTGGGGGAATATCACCCTAAGTAATAAACCATGGTTTATAAATCCGGGGTTGACATTAATGATATAATATGAAACACCACTATCATCAAATACATAAGTGATGACTACTAATATAGTCATTTAAGATATTGTGCAGTGGAATTACATATAACCCACAACAATTGGTGGTTGTTGATCTCTTCAATTCGCGCATCCTTGCACATTCAGTTTTCAGGAGATCCTGCAGAAGATGCTGATCACCAGCTACATCAGCATCGACGGTGGCCTGAGGCCCCTGCCAGAGACGTTGATGGCTGTGGCCAAAAGCTTTGCCAGTTATACCTCGGTCAGGTGGGACCTGGGATGGGGTGGCAGCGTGGGTGCTAGGTGCCATGCTTGGTGCCATGGTTGATTCGCTGTTGTCATCTTGGAAGATGGAGCACGAGAGAAAGGGAATTGGATCTTGGGTAAACTGTTGTTGGATCTAAAATGCTTGGATGTCTTCGTGCTGTATGATTTACACTCTTGCAATAGGTGATAGTCCCGGGTGAATTTCCCACATAGCCTGCCCTTCATGGGTGGAGTGGGCAATTGAGTGTATTGCTGAGTGCAAGTGACAAAGGAGATTGTCTCCATGCAAGAGATTTGGTGGATCCACTGTACCACACACACACACACACACACTTACTGTGTGTAATTTATAAATATATATATATATATACATACATATATTTATATATAATATAATAAAACTTATCGTGTTCATTTCTTTGGATGCAGAGTGAACATTAGAAGAATCTTGCGCGCATGTGAAGATACATAGTTATATTTTCTGTAAATGAAATAGCGCACACACATTTTTTTGGTGGCATATCTGTATATCTGTATCTATATGTAGCAGAAGAGTACATCTAATATAACCACCATATAATCACCATACCAGTACTACCGCAGGAGGCGGTGGCGGAAGATTCGAAGATAGGAAACCTATAGGAGCGGCGAGTTGTCGTGATGCATGGAAGGCAGAGCGAACCCACTGATGGACCGAAAGGTGGTTGAGGCTGTGAGTCTCCTCTCTCTTTCTATCTTTCTACCATGTCTACCTACCTACCTACCTATCTAATCTAATCTAATCTAATCTAATCTCATCTAATCTAATCAAGCCACAACAGCGTGCACTTTTTCAGCATCTTAACTTCCAAAAGTGCTCCGAACCCGTGGTGCATTTAACATTTTGAATTCGACACGTGCTTCGCGCCACAACGGCCTGCACTTTTGCAACAGCTCAACGTCCAAAAGTGCTCCGACCATGTTTTGCACATTTTGACTTGCACACGTGCTTCGCGCCAGCGGCGTGCATTTTTTCAACATCTCAACTTGCCAAAATACTCCGAGACTGAGGTGTTTGGAGCATTTTGACTTCAAAATGTGCTTCGCGCCACAGCCTGACTTCGGCGTGCCATTTTTGATCCCATCTGACTGCTCTCACCTCTGCTTTTCCATTTGTCAATATTTCAAAAGTTTGATTTCAAAACTTCCTTCTATCATCATCACACACACACACACGCGCACATATATATATATATATATCTATATCTATATTTACATACGTGCACATCACCGGACGTGCCAGGTCGGAGCTGTTGGATGCCGACGCGCCGAGTGAGGCGGATGTGGAGGTCACAGACTACGATCGTAGCCTGATCCGAATCGGCGATCTTTGGATCCGATGGCCCCCCCGGCCGTTGAGGATTCCTACGAAACATAAAATAGTGGTGCACCAATGACATGATATGACATGTTTATTGGGACAATTAGTTCTTATGTTTATTATAGTTATGACAGGTCTTAACATGTCATAAGATGTAGTACCATGTTAGAAGTGATTCCTGGCAAATCTGACAGATGGCTGCTGGTGCTACTGAAAATCAAGGGTTGTGACCTCCTGGAAATGGTGGATGTGCGAGACATTTTTTGTCACTTGGAGATGCACCTCTTCGGGTTCTAGGTTTTGCATCTCTTGCGTTACCTATCTGGAAATCGAACACCCACTCTTTTGCAGATGATTCGGGTAAGGTGCACGCGTTACAAGTCACTTCGCAATTCAGAATGAATTTAGGGACCAACTCAGCATGCTCCCAATCTATTAGCCAAGAAATGAACTGCAGGCAACTTTCTGCATCTTTTTGCTGTCATATGGAAAGGCATCAACTTCCCATGAAATTTTACGATCGGCTTCGGCTTCGGGGCATCATTGCGGGTGAAGATGTTAGTTGACCTGGAAGAACTGCAATTCGCCAGATGCCTGCCATATGTGAATGCCAACTCCTGAAGGAACTGCAATGGCAGCCAAAAAACACTGCAAGATACATAATTAATTAACAGATGCCATCAGTTACCAAATCAGACCTGCACATTCACCTTGAACGATCTAGATCGTCCACTCTTGCAACCTAAGGCGTGGACTTCGGCGATCGGAGGCCGAAAGGGGTGAAACCCAAGGACTAAGCGCTTCCATTTTGACCTCTGTTTTTGACTTCCCACTTTAGTGCCATCAAGAGTGCCATCCGCCATCCTGAATTTGTTCTTGGGAAAATCATGGAACATCATCGGCTCCATGATGGTTATCATGGAAAATCATGGAGAACCATGGAAAATCATGGAGAACCATGGAAAATCATGGAAAATCATGGGGAATCATGGAGAATCATGGAAATTCATAGAAAATCATCGGGAATCATGGAGAATCATGGAAAATCATGGAAAATCATGGAGAACCATGGAAAATCATGGAAAATCATGGAGAATCATGGAAAATCATGGAGAATCATCGAAAATCATGGAGAATCATGGAGAATCATGGAGAATCATGGAGAATCATGGAGAATCATGGAGAATCATGGAGAATCATGGAAAATGATGGAGAATCATGGAGAATCATGGAGAATCATGGAAAATCATGGAGAATCATGGAGAATCATCGAAAATCATGGAGAATCATGGAAAATGATGGAAAATTATGGAAAATCATGGAGAATTATGGAAAATCATGGAAAATCATGGGGAATCATGGAAAATATTGGAACATCATCTTACAACTCCAGTTTTCTGACGGGTGTTATCGTGGAAAATCGCAGGTTGCAGGCCTGCGTAGATGATGATGCTGCCTTCCAGGCCGAAGCCGCCAAGGCCGGAAAAAGACCAAGCAGAAGATGATGTAAATGGGGCATATTAATGGTATAATAATGGTATATTAATGATATATATTAAATGGTATAGTGATGGTATATTACGAAAGCCGGCCGGGAAGCTGGCTAGTTGTTATTTGCGAACGAAGTGAGAATAGGGGGTCTGGGGGGGGGTAGGTGCCTCAAGGGACCGAAAACGTCGTGAATAGATGGTGTTTTAAGCGCGCAAAAAATATGGGTTTTTCAGGGTAATGTACCACGCGGCAAAACAGTGACGGTGGGTATCGATTCCTTCTAGGTCCGGTTTTCTTGGGTGAAAAGTCTGAGGGTGCAAAGTCTGTGGGTGAAAAGTAAGTGCAAGAAGAGTTTCTGGGTGAAGAGTCTCTGGGTGAAAAGTATATGGGTGAAAAGTATGTGCAAGAAGAGTTTCTGGGTGAAGAGTGTCTGGATGAAAAGTATATGGGTGAAAAGTATGTGCGAGAAGAGTTTCTGGGTGAAGAGTCTCTGGGTGAAAAGTATATGGGTGAAAAGTATGTGCAAGAAGAGTTTCTGGGTGAAGAGTTTCTGGGTGAAGAGTATCTGGGTGAAAAGTATGTGCAAGAAGGGTTTCTGGGTGAAGAGTCTCTGGGTGAAGAGTATATGGGTGAAAAGTATGTGCAAGAAGAGTTTCTGGGTGAAGAGTCTCTGGGTGAAAAGTATATGGGGGAAAAGTATGTGCAAGAAGAGGTTCTGGGTGAAGAGTATGTGCAAGAAGAGTTTCTGGGTGAAGAGTCTCTGGGTGAAAAGTATATGGGTGAAAAGTATGTGCAAGAAGAGTTTCTGGGTGAAGAGTCTCTGGATGAAAAGTATATGGGTGAAAAGTATGTGCAAGAAGAGTTTCTGGGTGAAGAGTCTCTGGGTGAAAAGTATATGGGTGAAAAGTATGTGCAAGAAGAGTTTCTGGGTGAAGAGTCTCTGAGTGAAAAGTATATGGGTGAAAAAATAGTGCAAGAAGAGTTTCTGGGTGGAGAGTCTCTGTGTGAAAAGTATATGGGTGAAAAGTATGTGCAAGAAGAGTTTCTGGGTGAAGAGTCTATGGGTGAAAAGTATATGGGTGAAAAGTATGTGCAAGAAGAGTTCCTGGGTGAAGAGTCTCTGGGTGAAAAGTATATGGGTGAAAAGTATGTGCAAGAAGAGTTTCTGGGTGAAGAGTCTCTGGGTGAAAAGTATATGGATGAAACGTATGTGCAAGAAGAGTTTCTGGGTGAAAAGTATATGGGTGAAAAGTATGTGCAAGAAGAGTTTCTGGGTGAAGAGTCTCTGGGTAAAAAGTATATGGGTGAAAAGTATGTGCAAGAAGAGTCTCTTGGTGAAAAGTATATGGGTGAAAAGTATGTGCAAGAAGAGTTTCTGGGTGAAGAGTCTCTGGGTGAAAAGTATATGGGTGAAAAGTATGTGCGAGAAGAGTTTCTGGGTGAAGATCTGGGTGAAAAGTATATGGGTGAAAAGTATGTGCAAGAAGAGTTTCTGGGTGAAGAGTCTCTGGATGAAAAGGGTGAAAAGTATGTGCAAGAAGAGTTTCTGGGTGAAGAGTCTCTGGGTGAAAAGTATATGGGTGAAAAGTAAGTGCAAGAAGAGTTTCTGGGTGAAGAGTCTCTGGGTGAAAAGTATATGGGTGAAAAGTATGTGCAAGAAGAGTTTCTGGGTGAAGAGTCTGTGGGTGAAAAGTGTATGGGCGAACAGTATGTGCAAGGAGAGTTTCTGGGTGAAGAGTCCCTGGGTGAAAAGTATATGGGTGAAAAGTATGTGCAGAGGAGTTTCTGGGTGAAGAGTCTCTAGGTGAAAAGTATATGGGTGAAAAGTATGTGCAAGAATAGTTTCTGGGCGAAGAGTTTTTCGGTGAAGAGTCTCTGGGTGAAAAGTATGTGCAAGAAGAGTTTCTGGGTGAAGAGTTTCTGGGTGAAAAGTATATGGGTGAAAAGTATGTGCAAGAAGAGTTTCTGGGTGAAGAGTCTCTGGGTAAAAAGTATATGGGCGAAAAGTAAGTGCAAGAAGAGTTTCTGGTGAAGAGTCTTTGGGTGAAAAGTATATGGGTGAAAAGTCTGTGCAAGAAGAGTTTCTGGGTGAAGAGTTTCTGGGTGAAAAGTATATGGGTGAAAAGTATGTGCAAGAAGAGTTTCTGGGTGAAGAAGAGTCTCTGGGTAAAAAGTATATGGGTGAAAAGTAAGTGCAAGAAGAGTTTCTGGTGAAGAGTCTTTGGGTGAAAAGTATATGGGTGAAAAGTCTGTGCAAGAAGAGTTTCTGGGTGAAGAGCCTGTGGGTGAAAAGTATATGGGTGAAAAGTATGTGCAAGAAGAGTTTCTGGGTGAAGAGTTTCTGGGTGAAGAGTCCCTGGGTGAAAAGTATAGGGATGAAACGTATATGGGGGAAAAGTCAGTGGGTGAAAAATCATTGGGGAAAATAGGGTTAGATGGGATGCTGGTTTTCGTTTCCCCCTTCTCAGGTATATTTTTGTTAAAAGAATAAAGATAACCATAGATACCCCAGATTCTAATTCTATGATGCTTGGATATGTTCAGCTTTGTGAATAGTATGAGAATAGCACCAAAACCAATGGTTTATTCCAGTATTTTCTCATTCACACGTTCATGTTGGGCTGTGCTCGCACCCCCATGTTGCAGACGCCCATCTTACAGAACTTGGCTTATCACCCCACGATGCTAGCGTCGGGGTGCGGGATATCTCGGATAAAGACTTGCAAACGTCCAAAGTAAGCGCGCAATCGCGATGGTTTTCTGATGGTAGCATATGATGGTGTCCTAAAATATGGGTACCCCTAAATCATCCATTTTAATGGGATTTTTTCATCATAAACCAACCATTTGCGGGCCGATTTGGGGACCCCCCCCATTTATGGAAAGCCCGGAGCCAGCATACCAATTATGCTCCAAAGTCGCCATCTCATGTCATCTCCGCCAGTGGAAAGGAGATATGAAACCACCATATCTAATAGCTGGGTGGTGTCGAAATTGGGTTTCCTGCAGATTTTTCTTTGGACCCCGGTGATTGCTGTGATTCTGCTGTCTTTCAGATTGCTTGAGGCGAGTTTGACATCTGTGACGAGTTGCTCTGAGGACGGCTTAGAAGGGATGCAGATTTTGGATTTGGATAGTGGTGATGAGGGAAAATTCAGCAAGATATATACCTGGACATTCGCAATTTATTTCGGAGATGTTGCAGAGTTTTCCCCCAGAAAGCCAACTCAGGGATTGCACCTGATGCTGTTGATTTCCCTAGCCCAATGGCCTAGTTTGGACATTAGACATTAATTAGATCATTTTAGGACATTTTCATTGCCCAAAGTGCATGTACAAAATTGTACAAATTTCCATATAGCTTTATAGGGTGCAGAGCTGGTGCAGCTGGTGCATCCGTTTTGCCGTGGCTCAGGCCCTAACCTTTCTCGGCAGCAAGGAGCAGCTGTGCAACGATCAAACCTTAGAGAACGCAGCCGGGGGCTCTGGGGGCCCTTGGACGTGGTTGGAAGTGCCCAATGGTCCGGTGGAACCTTCTAAATGGCCAACAGTTGGCAGTAAAGTCATGCACACACACACACATATATATATTATATTATATATTAATATATATATATAGTATATTATATATTAGATATAATCATATTATATATATATTGTATATATATATATACAAATACATATACAATAAAAATAGATGAATAAATAAATAAGTGAATAATTAATTAAATAAGTGAATAAATAAATAAATACATAAATATATAAGTGAATAAATAAATAACTAAGAGAACAAATAAACAAAAAAATAAGTGAACAAATAAATATATAAATAAGTGAATAAATAAATAGATAAATAAATAAGTAAATAAGTAAATAAGTGAATGAATAAATGAATAACTAGATAAATAAATAAATAAGTGAATATGTAAATAAATAAATGAATAAGTGAATAAATAAATAAATAAATCGATAAATAAATAGATATAGATAGAGATACATACATATATATATATAACGCTTGAACATATTTCATTCATGTGGGGCTTTGGAGGTTGTCTTGATCTGCTTGCACTTCATGAAGTTGAGCAAAAAATCCAGCTATCAGCAGCTTAAGTTAGGACTCCTTCTGGGCGATGAACCTCTAGGAGTTTCGGTACCAAACGGTGTTGACAGGTGCCAGCCATCGGCTCAAACTGAGAGACTTAAGCCGCGGAGGTTGTAGGGATGGAGGGGCTGACTTTCGTGAGCCTTCCCCAGGCCAAACAGGCAGGGCTTTGGCATGTCGGAACACCATTAAGATGTGGCATGATCACATCAGTGGTTCCATCAGGCATGCGGAATTTTACTACTCTTCCCTGGGTTATGCGGGATGATCAAGGAAATCAAAGTCCAGATGAAGCAAGAAGTCAATGTTTGGCCTAGTGCCTAGTTCATGGCTTCATGAGGCTTGGTACCCTCCAAGACTCTAACAGTTCGAACTGTTAGAAACCAGCAATAGAACACTTATCCTGTGGATGACAGGCACCTCGCCTGGAAAGCGCTGGACATGGACAGCTCTACACTCCCATGCCAGGTGTGCTGAGAGTCACAAACCCGCCAAGGATTTGCAGACTCTCTAGCTGCAAATATAAAACCCGGCATCCAGAAATCCTCCATTTATCAGCATTTATCCTCATGGTAATTTTTCTACCGCAACAACAAAACTATGCAAAACCCTGGTTTTTTTTCTGTTCCCATGATGATTTTCACATTTTTTCACACATCAAACTGGTGAACCTGCCAGCGCCAGCAGCGCCAGGTGCTGACCAATCCAACTGGGTTACGAGCGCCACGCTGGCGACGGTGGCAGCTGTCGCCATTTTCAGGTGATTCGCCAGCACTGGGCTTCCCATGGCCCAGTTAGATCCATTTAATTCATGGCCATCGCCTATGAAATTCTGGGGATTCAATAGCTACCATCTGGTTATGACTAACATAGCCATGGAAAATCAGCATTTTTAATAGGTAAACCATGTATAAATGGGCCATTTCCCATGGCTATGTTAAATATGTTAGATTAAGAATGATTAAGAGATGGTATGTCGATAATGATTAAGGGAACAATGCCAAAATAACCAAGCATTTCTGGTGAATTATTGCAATTCAATTTGAACTTCAATGGGAAATTTACTGGAACCCCCCAGTTGGTGGAAAAATCAATGGATTCCGGTTAACATTTTCCCGTAAGTCACTCCACTGGACACCGGCAACAGTCATCAGTCACCAATGAGTATTTAAAACATGATGAATGATCAGAAGCAATCATTCCAATCACCCAAAAACATTCACCGTCGACAACCCCTACAGGGCGATGCGACGACGCAACTGGTCCCGTGTCACTTTGGGGCCCAGCGGTGGCTGCTTCTACGACATGAAGCTGCTTGGCGACAGCTGCCCTTGGCTGAGCCCGTGATTTGTGTAGCCCCCCAAGCATTCGGACAGC